GGAAATAGTTCATCTTATATTCCAGGAACAGAGACCCTAGAACCATCAAGAGAGAAGAGCATGAGCAGAACATAGGACCCTAACAAGAGAAGCAGCAACACTAGAGATGGAGGCAGAGGTGATGGCATGGAGAAATACAGAAGCTGAGGACTCTAGACTCATGGAAAGAGAAAGGCTGTTTGCTGGAAGCCAGAAGGCTGGCTTGCAGAATGTGCCCTTTGATTGTTTGATTATATATTCATATTCTTGAGTGTTTTTTGTACATAAGAAAAACACACAGAAAAACAAGGGATAGAAGCAAATACTGTTAAATGATGATGCATGGAGGGAACTGTAATCCTTGCAATGTAACAAAATACAATAGGATGAGTGCAAAACCAATATTCTCCTATGTAAACTATCACTCAATTCACAATAAAGCTTTAAAAAAGAAAGTGGAAGAAGCTGCAACTAAAAGACTCCCCTCCCCTCCAAAAAAATTTAAGTCAGCTTGATCTTGAACAATACTCTTTCAAGATCCTGTCAAACATTACAGATCACATATCTGATAAGGGACTGATAGCCAGAATATATAAAGAAATCTTGTAACTCAATAATAAAAGGACAGCTCAATCTTAAAATGGGCAAAGGATATAAAAAGACACTTATCCAAAAAAGATAAACAAATGGTCAATAAGGACATAAAAAGATGTTCAACATCATTAGTGATTAGGGAAATGCAAATCAAAGCCACAATGAAATACTACTTCACATCCATAGGTTGGCTAAAATTTATATTTAAAACAAAACAAAGTTTATGACTTGTTGAATGTAAAACTGATGATCTTGTCTGTAAACCTTCACTCAATTCATAATAAAAAATTTTTTTTAAAAAGACAGTAACAAGTGCTGGTGAGGATAGTGAGGGTATGGTGAAACTGCAACATTTTTACCCTGCTGACAGGATTTCAAAATTGTGCAAAACAACTTTGGAAAATGACTCAGCAGTTCCTCAAATGTTAAAGACTTGCCATATGGCCCAACAATCCTACTCCTAGGTATATAACCAAGAGAAATGAAAATATGTGTCTACAAAAAAACTTACACATAATGTTCAAAACATGATTATTTATTTATAATAGTCAAAAACTTAGAATCAACTCAAATGTCCATCAACTGGTTAAGTAAAATGTGTTATATATAGCCCATGCAATTGAATATTATTTGGCAATAAAAAGGGATGAAATATTGATACATTCTACAACAAGAATAAATCTTAAAAACATTATGTTAAGTATAAGGTCACATAAGTATGACTCTACTTTTGTGAAATGTTCAGAATAAACAAAGACAAAAAGTAGATTAGTAGTTGCCAGGAGGTGAGGGAAATGGGGAATGACTGCTAATAGATAAAGGCTTTTCTTTATAGGCTCATGAAAATATTCTGAAATTAGATCATAGTGAATATTCTTAAAACTATTGAACTGAATCACACACTTTAAAAGGATGAATTATATAATATTGAATTATATATCAATAAAGCTATTTTTCTTTAAAAGGTAATTTCAAAGACATTATGTTAAATAAAAAAACTTAAAGTTTACAACTAAATATACGCTTGTATATTAATTTGCCATATTCTATATTTAAAACATTTGCTTTAGAATCTATACTGGAGAGCAAGTCTCAGTGTCTCTTCTGACATCCATTTTGACATTTTCCTTCTTTCTTGTCTTCTTAATGACT